AGTGGAAGGCAGACACTCATTAGTTTAGTCTCTGACAAAATGTCTGTACGAGAATCACTAGAAATATCACTCTCTAACTCTTCAGAAAATGAATCATCACTCTCATCCAAGGCACTAATTGGTTTATTTACCATGTGAGCATATATTTCCATAGACAAATAACCCTTGGTCAAAAAGGTAAACTAAAGTCAAGGCCAAAATGAAAAGGAAAGTGTGTAATATATAAGTGATAAAAGAAATGCAAAGCATAATAGAGCCCCACATAGTAACCAAAAAAGTATAAAAATGTGGATTCGAAGGGATGTTAGAAACACTAATGTTAATATCGAATGGGGAGTTGGAAAACCCAATTTTATTCAGCAAAAATTCAGTTTCATGAGTTGATAGCCTTAGATAATATTTTTGCTTCAGAAGAAAAGCAGTGTTTATATGTTTAAATTATATTTTTTAATCACTAACTTTCTTTCAAGTTGTTAATCTTAAATTTTCAAGTTGTTAGTTAATTTCTTTTTAATTATTTTCTGAGAAATACTGTTCACTTTCAGATGTGGTCATCTTAGGGAAATGAATGCTGTGAGATGTATGTATTGGTTGTAATGAAAGTTTTCTGCCAAAAAGCATTCTTAATAAAGCTAGGGGGGAACATGAAAGCAGTACTTTTAGTGTGGGTAGTAATCGCCACCCAAACCTATTATTTTCTACCTATTATGACTATCCTAAGTATCAGATTTTGGTAGTTTTTCAAAGCCTTTGCCCTGAAACTTAGTGGCCGTGAGTCCAAAAATAGATTAACCGCATTTCGGAAGTTCTCTGCAAAATGGAAGTTAGCACCAGCAAGATGTAGCTGCTAGTGGGAAAAAAGGTAGAAGTGCGAAGAAGCGATATATGGTGGGTGTGGCCAAAGATCCCATTTGAGTCTGTACTACAGAGTCCAGCTGGTGAATGCAGACACATGTGGTCTTGCAATATCTTGATGGAACATTACCTTTTTGCAGTGAAAGTCAGTTCAACGTTTTTTTGATAGCAGTATCAACACAGCCTTGCATCTCACTGTATACCTTACTGTCAAGGGTTTTACCTTTTTTCAGTTATTCTATGTGGATAATACCACTGCTATCCCATCAGATACAAAGCATGATCTTTTCGTTAGTCAAATTATGCTCTGCAATTCTGCCGCCAATATCCCTTAATATAAATATTAATTATCCTAATAAATAAATTAACCAACTTCCCTTTGCAAAATCTTAAGAACTCAAATGGTATAAAGGAGGTTAAGAATTTTGTTTCCTAAAAAAATCACTCAAAACTTTTCTCACATCTCCCATCTCACATCTGTCCTTATCTGCTTGAGTCAGCTCATGTGGCACCCAACGAATAAACTTGTACGCCAAGTTGATGCGTTGCCTAACACAACTAATGGAAATGGCACTAACATCTAACATCTTAGCAAGCTCTTGAGTGGTTGCATACTGATCTTCTTCCACAAATTCTCACAAGCAGACCTTATCAACATCAGTAGGTTGACCAGAGCGCTCTGCTTCTTAAATGTCATAGTCCTTGATTTTAAACTTTCAGTACCAAACCTCAAAGTGTCATATGATGCAATATTAATACCTAAAGCTGTACACATGATTTGGTGTCATTCTGTAGCTGACATTTTGCAACAGAACTGGAAGTAAATGATAGATTAATATCTAGTAGTGTGATATTTCCATTTCAGAGACATTATACGTAATGATAATGGTGTTTTTACAAATTTCATGACACAGTCTTCTAAAGCAACTTTCTTTTTTTCAAATGCCAAAAATCATTTGAAAAAATATGATTAAACACGGTAACGTGAACTGTTTGCGCAGACGATATTTGTGGTGCCGGGAAACTTTCTTTGAATCCCGATATATTCACCATGGGTTTATTATTATGCATGCTTTATTTTGAGTAGTAAGGTTTATATTGATATTTGTTAATTGACAAAAAATTCAATAAGCTGCAATAGCTAATCTGATTATTTTAAAATCTTCTTTTCATACATACTGACATGTTAATCACATATTAAATTCAAATTCTAAATCTTTGTGACATGACAGACCATCCTAAGTATAAAATTTTATTTTTGAACTAGCAGCTTCGCTGCCAGCCTTCATCTGGCTTTTAAGTGTACCAGAAAAATGGCTGAAGGGAACACCAAACGTTAAATTTAAAAACTGCACAGAATTTTACTCTGCAGAACAACTTCATAAAAAAAAAAGTTATTACATATAACAAAATTACAATGAAATAAGCAATATCCCTTAATATAAATATTAATTATCCTAATAAATAAATTAACCAACTTCCCTTTGCAAAATCTTAAGAATTCAAATGGTATAAAGGAGGTTAATTTTGTTTCCTAAAAAAATCACTCAAAACTTTTCAATGTTTTAAAAACGGTGAAATGAGCAATAAATAACATAAAAGAATACAAAAAACAAAAAATTCTGAAAAGCAAAGTATAATTAATGATATTTTATCTTATATTTTCAAGAGAAAAAAAATACAATGAAATAAGCTATATCCATTAATACAAATATTAATTATCCTAATAAAAAATTAACCAACTTTCCGTTAAAGGAAAAAAATCATGCAAAACTTTTCAATATCTTACAAACAGTGAAATAAGCAAAACATAACATGAAAGCAACTCAAAAAACATAAAATTCCACGCAGAATTTTACTCTGCAGAACAACTTTATCAAAAAAAATCAATAAAAATGTATTGTATATATATATAAAAATGACAATGAAATATGCCAATCTCTTAAAAACAGTGACATATGAAAAATTGCTGCCAAACCCATATTTCTAAAAGAATGAAACTATTCAAATGATGTGATTTTATCAAAAATCTATCAACAACAATAAGACAGGAAAGTTGTTGCCAAAATCACATTTCTAAAGATGTTAGAAGTGTACTCGGAAGCTTCATTAAAAAAAATTTTTTTAAATACAAAATATTATCATTTTTCCAAAATTCTTTTTGTAAAAGCAGTCACAAGGATGAAAGTTTTAACGTGTTCAAAAAGAAAAATAAACTGTACATTTTAAAAAATAAACTTTTTTAGGAAAAAATCCGTTGAAAAGGTGTTAAGCTCCCTTTGTTAAATAAATTCGTATTTAATCGACTTATTAAACACAAAATTTATTTTAAGTTCGTAAAATAGCTAAGTGCCTACGTTTCATGACAATGTGAAAATAGAGTGTGTAGAGTAAAATCTTGCTTTTTTATAGCCCATTATGTCTCAAAATGACGCGATTTCGTCGCAAAACGTAAAATAAAAAAAATTCGAATTTAAAAAAAATCGCTTCGAGGTGCCCTGACTCTTGTCTAGATGCACCTATGTACCAAATTTCATAGCCGTGGATCTATTAGCTTACGCGCAGCACGAACAAAAGACACACACACAGAGACTCTTTCTTTTATTATATGTAGAAATGAATGAAATTTAGAACTTCTTTTCTATAAAATCCTTTTGTTTTCTGACATCCTAAGCATTGTTTAAGTATTGCAGTTTAAAAATATTTTAATGTTAAATTTTTATATGTTATATTTAAAATGCTGAGTTAATAATGCGATTTTTAAAGTTCTGAAAGATTGTAGCACACAATCATTCATTAAAGAATGTCTCTATTTTTTTTTTTTTTTTTTTTTTTAAAGTTAGGGTTAGTAGAAATTATAAGTTCACCAAGTTTAATTTTTTATTGGGGGGGGCAGGTTAAAAATACATACAAACTTTTAAATGCGGATATCTTTATGGTCTTATATGATTTTTACAAAATTTGGTATTTATACATAATTTGAAATGTAGAATCGAATTACAGAAAATATGAACATGTTATTTCAGAAAAGGTCTGACTTTGTGTCCAAGTCTTTCTTGTGAATAATGTATAATATGCCTTAAGTTATGCTCTCAAGGCATGAAAAACATAAATATCATTGGTTGGTTGATTAGATTGAGAGATCTAAAACTGCAGTCCCCCCCCTTTTTTTTTTTTTTTTTTTTTTTTTTTTTTTTTGGACTCACTGAACCTAAAAATTTTACACAGACAAATCAAAAGTTTTCAGTGTTTGAATAGAAAAAATTTTTGTGTATTTTTTAATATGATCTTATATTTTGATATGCTTTTCACATCATTTAATGAGCAACTCTGAGCTCTTGAAAAAGTAATCTGAAGTTTTGTCCTCGAGAGTTTCCATAACTACTTTTTTCACATCATTATCATTAAACCTCAGGAGAGATGAAATTTTAGTTTGTAAAACGCATAATAATCTCTTTGAGCTAAATCTGGGCTGTAAGGGTGGGTAGTCAAACTTCTCGAACTTATGTTGCGGTTTTTGAATTACTGAAGGGAATGGGGTAGCCATCTTGCAGAGAATTTGTTCATGTGAAAAAGCTCGCATATATTGTGTAAAATAGTTGCTTTCTATTCAAGATAGATAAATCCTATCTTGATGTCTCTGTGGCTTTTAATTTCTGCTCCTTCAGTATTTCTTTTTGAACATGAGCAATATTTTGTATTGTAAAATACTTCAGTGGTTGACCTTCATGAGAACATCTGTGGATTCTCAGCCTATCCGAAATGGTTTTACCCATATTTCACTGTAGTGTAGGAAAGTGAAAAATCACCAACCATGACCCAAATTGTTTTAAGTCTTTGAGTGAAAACCTTCTTTAGTCAAAAATTTAACTGCATAATGATATTTGATTTTAAAAATTTTAGAATAAACTAGATTATCACTTTTCACTAAATTGTAAAAAAATGCATATGATTTTTCGAATGAATTTTTCAAATTTAATTGTTTAATATTGCCGGTATATATCTGCTGGAAGAATGTGATGCTAAGTGATTTTTTATAGGCAAGGTCGAAAATTTTTGGATCTAACATACATTATTGTTCTTTGTGTATGAGATCATAAATACATTCAAACTTAACTTTGTTTTGTATTTGAATTTATTTTAAGCATACTTTGACCGGACATATTGGAAAAGTAATGTCAGCAAAATTTCTTGGAGAAACGGGTAAAGTGGTTTCTGGAAGTCATGATAGAACATTAAAGATCTGGGATCTTCGTCGCAGAGCATGTAAGTTCCATGTTTTTCATTGTAATCTTATCCATTATTTGTTAAAATTTAACAACAAGTATGGCAATAGTTTTATAAGATTTTTCGGCATATAATATTTTTCATTGACAAAAACCATACTAACATCATAAAAGGGTTAAGATTCAATAACATGCCGAACAAGTATTAATTTAGAGATCAAACAACAAAAATCAGCGTTATATTTTCAAATTTTCACAGGACTAGTTTCATTTTTTTTACCGAACCATCAAAACTAGTCCTGTGAAAATTTGAAAATATAACGCTGATTTTTATTATTTGATCTCTAAATTAATCATAAAAGGGGTTTAAAAGAAAAAGAGAATTATGTTAAGACTCCTCAAAATTCTGAATCTTATATTTTTATACCTAACTTTTCCCTTCCTTTTATATAATAACAGTTCAGTGCAGGCTTAAGTAGTTACAGAATCATTGATAGAAGCATTTTTAAAGATTTTTTTAAAAAGTATTTAGTTTTCTGAAACTCGTGGTACAACTGTCATAACCAGCATTTTCCTTCCTCTCATTAAAGAAACCTTTTTTTATTTCTTTATCTGCCAAAGAGATCTATAGAAGGTCCACATTTACTGTTCAGGATAGCCATCGAATACAAGTCATTACCCATTCTTATGACATTGGCTACATTATGGCAAGGACTAAAATTTTGCACCAGCATAATAAAAAATCAAATAGAAATCATTTCACATCTAAGACATCAAAGTATTTTGAACATTTGTATGTAACTAATTTTTTTTTTTTTACTTGCACTACTTGTTTGCTTCTTCTATTTGCACCTTGTTTCAAAGGTCTCAATCAAATCAAAATGATTGTGCTATGTGGACCTTACAGAAGTTGTAATCAATGCAAATTTTTTTTAAAAAATTCCATCACGTTATAAAAAAATGCAAAATAAACTTACTTTATTTAAAATTAGATGAGACTCTAAAACTTCATAATTATTAAGACATTATGTTGCAGTCACAAATGTAATAGAAGATCACTTAAAATATCAATTACATAGTAGAAGAGGCGAAGAAATTTTGAAGAGTCACAAAATCACTTGATAATCCAAATATCTCTTTATTACTTATTGATTGTCCTATGGCTTGGCACATCATAATGAGGCTAATCTGCACACCAACAATTTTGATCATGACGCATTACATTTTTAACAGAAGCAACCAAGCAATAAATATCCTTTAGCTAGTAAGCGTAGGCAGAGAAAGAGGGGGTAGTTGGATTGCAATCGTATTTATAGGAAAATTTTTCATTTATCTGGTTGTCTTAAACTTATGGGGCAATGCAGAAGTTTAAGATGACATAATGCGGAATTAGTTTTCAGATGTGACACAGTTTCAAAAAAGTTATTACTAGAGATGAAGTACCCAAATAAAAAATGAGCAATTAAGAGAGCATGATGCCTCCCCAAACAAGAACACCGCCACCTCTATACCTGTCCCTTTCAATGATGTTCGAGGGATGATTGCGGCTTCCCCGCTCTCTCCAGATGAGTATGCAATGAGAATCGCTACTCAGACTGAATCTGCTCTCATCTGTAAAGAGTACTCGTCCCCATTCATTGTCTCTCCAATTTCGGTGTTCCCGGCACCACAGAGAACGCCTTCTCCGATGGGCAGGCGTCAGAGGTACACACCGTACAGGGCGTCGCGCAAACAGACCACCACCATGCAGTCTTCTGGCCACGGTAAAACGTGATATCGGTCGTCCAGTCGCCTGTGTTGTGTGTCTAGCGATTTCTCCCGCTGTCTGCCGCCTGTTTCTTCTGGCCTGTAAGGCAAATATACCGGTCATCTGCGGGTGTGGTTCCTCGTGGACGACCACTACTAAACCCCCGGATAGCTGTTCCTGTAGTTCGAAATTGTCTCCAAAGTCATGAAACGATGCTGTGAGCAATTCCAAACTCTGCAGCCACACTTGTCACACTGGGGCCTTCCTCCAACTTCCCAATGATTCGACCTCGGGTAAAAGCATCCAGATGTCGTCTAACAGATTGGTTATTTGCCATTTCTCGCTGAGGCAGCAACTCGGTGTGATTTTAAGTGCTATACGGCATGCAATCTCTTTGCCAGAAATACTGATCTTACACCGACAACATGCTTTATACTACTCAGACATTCCCCATTACGTCTACTTGCATATCTGCGCATGTGCTACCATACATCACCTTACTTAATCTCCTGATTGGTCTTTATGTCCGCTCTGCCTCTTCGTTCAGCTGATATGCTAATTTTTCGACTTCGTCCTTAATTTTGCACACCAGTGTATATTAAATAGGTTACAACCTGGAACTCTACACAAGTATGATCTACTGCATCAAACAGAGCCTGACTAAATTTCAACACTGCCAACCGTGCCTACAGGTTTGTTCGAATCAGCATGTCTTTCTCTGGACAATCAGCAGCGGTGACAACATTCATCTTTTGTTATTAACCTGCTGGTTATGATCTTACTTCTCATTTTAACCTATGTTACATGACATAAAATCTAATACCTGCTATTTACTAAACCTCTAGACTGACCAAGTATGTAACAAAATAAGACAAAGAAATCAACATAAAGCTAAGTATTAGTAAAACATAAATGTCACTTATCTTCTTACAAATATGTTCAACTATTATAAGTGTAAAATATTTAATGCTACTTGATAAATTGCATAAAGTTTATTTTATTCTTATACTTATTAATAATTATGTTAATTAATTCATGTTTCGTAATAATGCATACTACTTCGGGATCTATTTTATTTTTAGGATGGTATTACAAAAGTGAAATTCAGGCATAGAATAATATATTTAATTGAATTTATTCAGTTCCCATTTGCTCATAGGTCCTTAATTTTTTCATTAATGGTCCTTAAAAGTACTTAATTTCTGTGTGCCATAATATGTACAAACCCTGACAAAAGCCACGAGTGTGACTTGTGGTAAAGAATTTGTGTCATAAACAAACGAGTCTGACTCATGGTCCCACGCCATTGAAAAAACATCGAACAAGAGCATGGAAAGTATGTACGAAACATAAGAAAAGGTGCAAAACTACATGGGAATATAAGAACTGTCGCATTGCATTACATGTACTTCATTGTTTTGAAAGATACCATTCAGTTGAAGACTACTAATTTTCATTAAATTAACTAAGTATTTATTTACAAATTGTTGTTGATTCATTATCTCCTTTGAAATAATAAATTATTTTTGTCAACTGATCAATTGATTATGATTGCACCATAGACGTCTTAAAATTACTGTTTGTACCTAAACGTTGTTTATTATTTCACAATTCCTTTCATTACACTGAAATACATATGTCATGAAAAGTATACATTTTGCGCCAGTTCGGGTACACGGCTGAACAGTTGAATAGCACAGTGCACTACCGACTTTCTTGCTTACTATAGCTCATGCAATTGGCAGATATCGTGTAGGCCAAGGGGTTAATAACTTTTGAATTCAAACCATGGTCTAATAAATGAAAGTTCAGGATTAAATTAGTTATAGTAGCCCTTTGTTTGAAGTTTTATGATATTTAATTTTTTGCAGATGATTTAAAATGCTCTGTTGCAGTCCAGGTTTTTTTCCCCCTTTCTAGGTATCCGTACTATTTTAGCTACTTCTAGTGTTAACGATGTCGTAACTACTGACAGGAGTGGGACCAATATTGTGAGTGGACATTTTGATAAAAAAATAAGATTTTGGGACATGAGATCTGAATCTAGTACAAATGAAATACTTTTGCAGGGAAGAATAACATCTCTGGATTTATCTGTTGGTAATTTTTTTTCATGCTCTTCAGTGTGTTTATATACTAAATTTTTTATTTAGACTTTTAAATCGTTGATTAAATTATTTTATTACTTCAGATGTATATTGATGTCCATTAAAATGTAACACTGTGAAGGAGTAGAACTATTAAAGCCATGTCATTACATACATAACATTTGTTATCAGGGTTCAGTTATGAACTTACAGCATGTAAAGAAGTCAGTGTCTGATGTAACCACATATGTGAGTGTAAATGCTATTTTGTTGCGTACAACAAAAAAGAGATATTGGATATGTATTTTGTTTACTTTGTAGAGTTCCTCACTTTGGAATTCTAAGTAACTGTTGGAAGTGAAGAATCTAAGAACTGATAAGCGAATAATCGCTTGAGTTCGGTGACAAGAAACAAGATAGAAGGGTAACTAACCCTTTATTATTCCTAATAAGGATTTTAAAAAACTCCACCTGGGAGTGTACAAACAAAGCACGACACTTGGAGCTTGAACTTAAGAGGACTAAGAATTAAACTGAAGCTAAGATTAACTAAAGAAAGTATAGCCTAAGCTATCAAGATTCAAATCGAGTTGTCCCCTTAACTTATTTGACTACGAAGCTTCGCAAGGGCCTGAGTACGGCCGAGCGTAATAACAGCTTTGAGAGAGAGACAGCTTTGAGGTTTAAATACTGCTCCTCCTCATTAAATATTCAACAAGATTCCAAAACTACGTTATGGCCGGAAGTAGTAAGTTGAAGTTACGAATTTGACAGGGAAGGAACTTTAACTTAAAATTTAACTGTTAATAAAATTAACATAATCCTTACAACTTAAGTCTGCACATTTTTTATTCATTTGCCGAAATTCATCCTTTGTATTAGTAGGTGGTTTTTAATGTGGCAGCTGCACTGTCATATTTAATGAGTGACACATGTTTGAATAAGTAAGCTAAAAACGAAGTGGAACATGGTGACCATTGAAGACTACTATGTTCATTCCATGAAGCTCTGTCATGTGGCTGCCATTTTAGATTTTGAAAAAAGCACTGCATTTAATAGTGAAACTTGAATTTGACATTTTACTTTTATTATGTTGAATTATGGACTGTTAAGCATTTTGCTAAGGTTTGCATTTACAGTGCATTTTTCACTGTAAATGGCCACTGAAAATTTTTTAAATATAAAAATTTTAAATTGTCACCAAAGTACGCTTGCCGATAATTAAAATTCCTTAGTTGCTGAAGTGGAGATAAAATACACTGAAAATTAACTCTATGATTTGCTATTGCTTAGACGAGTGGTTCTCAACCTTTTGACTAATGCATACCTTCTAAACAAAAATTGAAAACCTTTAGTACCACCACCATAACTCTTGAACAAAGCTCAGATCCCATAAATTTACGAGTGTTATAGAAAACCTCAATCAGGATGTTGGGGTTTTGATTTTTGAATTTAATCGTTAAAAATACTTTGCTTCTTTGCATACCACCTATTTTTCTTTTGCGTACCACCAGTGGTACGTGTACCACCGGTTGAGAGTCCGTGGCTTGGACTATATATTCCCATAGCATTTGTCTTGTGAATGCTCCTGTGATGCTTAACACTTAATGAGTGCTATATTCTTATTATTTCAATTATAGTGTGAAGGCAACCTAACATACATGCTCACATGATATGTGGTATAACATTGCCATTGAGAGCCTTCATATCAGTAACTTCATCCATCCTCTACCGACTGACTCCATATTTGAATCTTCATGACTACATTCCATCAAAATGATTTCTTGGAAGGATTGAGTAAAGTCTTGATAGGTGTGGCGACTCTGTAAACATGTGTTGTACTTGCCAACCGTGCGCCGTTATCACTAACTGTAACCGAAGGTGATTTCGTCGACACATAGTCACGTCTTGTCGTCGGTGAGGTTGGTCACTCGCTTTCCTCCAACGTGATTGTCTGTCGACTGTAGTAATTAAGTTTTAATATTGTGATGTGATTAAATGTTTTTGTTATCAAAAATTGGCTCTTATGGCATGTTATGAATTCATCCTTAAAAGCACTGGCAAATTCCAATACGCATAGTTTGTTGTTGCACACAGCCGCAACCACGTGCAACAAATGGTGACTTCAGGACGGTGAGGCTTAAGCCAAATGAATCGTCGAAATTTATAGTACAGCAGAAATTTTGTGCTTAAACAAGACCTTGTAATAATGTGCGAAATGCAGCTGAACCAATATTTTTTACTTATGTGTATTGGATTACTTATCGTGTCTATTGGATCGTGCATCAGTTTCATCATATTACAGCCACGTGGATTACCTTCATGTTTCCATTTGTGATCATCTTTCAGACATGCGGATTACCTTCATCTTCCATTAGTGATAGTGTTCCAACATCAAGCGAGTGGATAATTTCTGTACATCAAGGTGATATTTTCTACCTTTTATTCCGCACATGGATTCGTATGTATTCGTCAAGCGGGTGAGTTTTTTCCTATATTTCATGTTCTAGATCATTGAACCCAGGTCCTAACATTAATTATTTTGTGTTTCTTCACGTGTACTGCAACAGTATTCTTGAACTATATCTTTTTCTTTTTTTTTTTTTTTTTTTGTTATCTGTATTTATTCATATTTATTATGGCTACTAGCGATCCTCTAGCCACTGATGACAAACAAATGGCTCGCGTTGCTGTGAAACCTGCCCCATTTTGCCGTAGTGACCCCAACCTTTGGTTTTTTTCAATTAGATGCACAATTCAAGCTCGGGGGTATAACACGCGACGACACGAAATTTTATACTGCAATTTCCGCCCTCGACACTGAGGTTCTTCAGTCAGTACGCGAGATTGTTCTGAAACCCCCCTCGGATAATAAATACGAGGAATTGAAAAATAAATTAATTTCAGTTTATGAGGAGTCTGAAAACACCAAACTAAAGCAGTTATTACAAGATTTGCAACTTGGTGATATGCGCCCATCCCAGTTATTGTCAAAAATGCAGGAGCTTGCGGGTGACAATTTTAAGTCCAATGTTTTACAATCATTGTGGCTCAATCGTCTCCCGAACAATATCCAAGCTATTCTTGCCTCCAGTAACGAGAACCTACCCCAACTGGCCCAAATGGCAGACAAAATTCATGATGTTCTCCAACCACAAGCAATCAGTCAAGTTCAGCATCCCAGTGTTGATATTTCATCTCTTCAACAACAAATCCAGGAATTATCATTGCAGGTCGCAGCCTTACAGACACGATCTCAGTATCATCCGCGCGGTAGATCAAAGTCCCGGAACCGAAATAATAGGGAATACCAACGCGCTCATTCTGGTACTCAATCAGACATTTGTTTCTATCACAGCCGATTCGGTGATAAAGCGCGCAAGTGTACACCTCCATGCAAATTTCAGAAGACCTCTTTAAACTGAAGGGGCCGTCACTCGAAGCCATGAGTGACAACGGCCCGTGCATTAGTCGATTGTTCGTAACAGATAAACCATCAGGCAGACGTTTTCTTGTTGATACAGGTGCTGACATTTCGGTTGTACCTCCCTCTTTTGCCGAATCCAAACGGCCGCCTGGAAAATTTAACTTATTTGCAGCTAACGGGTCAAAAATTGCAACATATGGAGAAATATTAATGTCTTTGGATCTAGGATTGCGTCGCAAATTTCAATGGCCATTTGTCATCGCTGCGGTTTCGCACCCAATAATTGGGTGCAGACTTTCTGCAAAAATTTTCTCTGTTGGTCGACATTAAAAATCGACGCTTACTCGACTCCATCACACAATTGTCCGCGGTAGGTAGCATTGGAAATGCCACTAATTTTGGAATTAAATTAATTTCCGGTAATTCTCCTTTCCACAAACTACTTGAGCAATACCCTAACGTCATCCGCTCAGTAACTGGCAAACCGACTGCTGACCACGGTATTGTACACGTCATAGAGACTACTGGACCACCAATCTTTGCCAAAGCACGGCGGTTGCCTCCAGAGAAATTAAAGGCTGCAAAAGAAGAATTTAAATACATGCTTGAGCAAGGAATCTGTCGGCCATCTAAAAGTTCATGGGCCAGTCCACTCCACATGGTCCCTAAGAAAAACGGCGACTGGCGTCCTTGTGGGGATTATCGACGTCTTAATTCAGTTACTTTGCCTGATAGATATCCGGTTCCTCATATTCAGGACTGCATGCAAGTCTTGGAAGGCAAAAATATTTTTTCTACGTTAGATTTGACTCGTGCTTACCATCAGATCCCTGTCAATCCACCTGATATACCAAAAACTGCTGTAATAACACCTTTTGGATTATTCGAATTTCCTGTCATGACTTTCGGGTTATGTAACGCTGCGCAAACGTTTCAGCGCTTCATTAATGAAGTCCTTCGAGATTTAGATTTTTGTGTCCCATATTTCGATGACATTCTGGTAGCCTCGACAACTGAAAACCAGCACCTTGAACACCTTTGCATAGTCCTTGGCCGATTTCAGTCTTATGGTGTAGTCATTAATCCATCAAAATGTGTTTTCGGGAAATCTAAAGTGTCATTTCTTGGTCATGAAGTTTCTTTGGAGGGCGTTCGCCCACTTAGTGACTGCAATTCAAAATTTCCCAGAGCCAAAACTGTTCAGGAGCTGCGTCGTTTTCTGGCCATGTTAAATTTTTATCGTCGCTTTCTTCCTTGTAGTCATTAATCCATCATGGTGTTTAGTCGGGAAATCATCAAATCCATGTAACAGCGTGTTTTACGAATGGACAATTCTTGGTCTTCGAAGTTACGAAGTTTCGTTCGGTGTACACAGCGTTCGCTAGTGCACACTTAGCAATTTCAGACAGATGTCTACTGCAAATGCATTACCAAATTAATGTTCCAGCAGATTCCAACAGTTCAGCCACGTAAAAGCGTTGACAGCCAGACGCTATTTTCGTCGTTTTCTGGCCATCGTTAAATTTTTATCGTCGCTTTCTTCCTCATGCCGCCTTTGCAGGCACTTTGCACACATATTTGGTTGG